AGAGAGAGAGAGAGAGAGAGAGAGAGAGAGAGAGAGAGAGAGAGAGATTGAGAGAGTATGAGAATAACAGGAAAAAGAGGCCAGTGGCTATGAGTTTGAGAGAAAGGTGGGGAGGTAAGTGGAGGGGTTGGAGGAAGAAAGGGGAAATGATATATTTTAATTTCTTTTTTTTTTATTGTGAGTGGCTAAGGAGATGGCTAATCTGTTTAAATTACTCGTTGTTCCTGTAGAGTACCCAGGTTTGCTTCCCAGCGCCTACAGTGTTGACTCATAACCATCTGTAACTTCAGTTCCAGCAAATTTGATGCCCTCTTCTGGCCTCCATGGACACTGCATGCATATGAACTTCATCCAGATAGATACTTGGAGACAAAACACCCATAAACATAAAATCAAAGTAAATCTCTTTAAAACGTATAAGTGATGAAAGACATGTGTACTGGGTACCGTGGAAATCCAAGTGGAGATGTTGATAATTCCTCATGGCATTAAGATATTGTAAGGGACCTCAGAGTCAGCATAGAACACACCCACACATCAAATTCTCAGCATAAAGGAGATTTATTACCCTGGAGGAACAAGAACAGGGCAAAGAGAGGGCTGCCTCTGGATGAGGCCAAGATAGACAGCAAGTGATTTTACTCCAAGGGTTTTTAAGGAGAAAAGGGGAAATTGTGCAAGGGTCAGTTGGTAAATCCTGATTGAACAGGTTAGCAAGTGTAGCTAAATAATGAATTTTGATTGTGGGTCCTTGATGTTTGGATAGTTGGACCTTGTAGTTTTAGCCATAAGGAAGTGGCCAAATAAGAGAATACACCTTGGGGCTAGCTTTAAGAATGTAATCTAACCACTTAGCAAGGGAGAGTGAAGAAGAGAAGGCAAGACTCTGTTAGCCCTTCAGATATGTAATTACCTGTATTTTCTAAAGTACCCTGGCAGTTTGTAAAAGAAATGTGTGTCAAACAAATGGTGGCTGAAGTGGAATTACCAAAATAGATAAAGAAAATTTGGAAAGTACAAGACAAAATAATGAAAGAAGAGAATTACCATTTTCAGTGTTCTTTGGTGTTTCCCCCGAAGTTCATATTGAAGGCAAGTCTTCAGTGTGCCAACACTCAACACTGAGGGTGAGAAGCAAAAAGTGACAGGGTCAGAAGGAACTCTGCTGTCATGCCTACATCGATGCATTTGCCACAGAAGGACCTGGTTATCTCAGGATTGTATTCCTCTTAAGAATAAAATCGATCTTAGATTTCTCTCCATTTATCTGGCGTGTACTTGTCCTTCCAGCATTAAGATATTGTAAGAAGCTTCCCCAACCCCATTAGAAGCCACACATCTTAGACTTCTTAGCCTCCAAATATATGGTCCAAATAAATTTCTGGCTGTGGAGAGACATCATGACCAAGAAAATTCTTGTAAGGGCAAATATCTAATTGAGGCTGGCTTACACTTTCTGAGGTTCAGTCCATTATCATCATGGTGGGAAGCATGGCAGCATCCAGGAAGACATAATGGTGAAGGAGCCAAGAGTTCTACATCTTTATCCAAAGGCAGCCAGAAGGAGATTGTTTTCTGCACTGGGTGGAGCCTGAGCATAGGAGGTCTCAAAGCCCACCTACACAGTGACATACTTCCTCCAATAAGGCCACACCTCCTCCAATAAGGCCACACCTCCTCCAATAAGGCCATACCTCCTCCAATAAGGCCAAACCTCCCAATAGTGTCACTCTCTGTGACCAAGCAGATAAATTCAAACAGATGAATGTGTGAGGGCCAAACCTATTTAACCACTACATCTATCAATCATGTGCTCATACATGTATGTAGGTGGACAAATGCTGTGACGAATGTGTCAGAAGGCAGCTCTTGTAGTCCATTCTCTCCTGGTATCCGGTGGATCAGGAACTGAATTCAAGTCCTCTGGATGGAGCACAGGTGCCTATACTTGCTAAGCCATCTTGTCAGTTGGCCTTCCTTTCTCATTATGACTTACCCAGTATGGAG